TGTGTGTGTGTGTGTGTGTGTGTGTGTGTGTGTGTGTGTGTGTGTGTGTGTGTGTGTGTGTGTGTGTGTGTATGTGTATTTTATTATTATTGTTGTGGTATAGTCGCACGTCGTCGTTATTGGTATTGTACCTATTATTATACTTACATTGTATTTACACTGGGTCGTTTGCATAATATATTTTGTTTTCCAGTGTACATCCAAAAGTCTAAGAACGGAATCAACAGAGCCAGATATTACTATAATAATAGTTGGAAACAAAGACGATACGACAAAGGAAACACAATGTACCATATACCCAGTCACAATATCATTTCGGTTAATTTGACCACCTTAACTGTACGGTTTGGTAGCAATAAAACGAGTAAATTCTGAAGTCGTACCGGGACAGTGAACGTTATAATTAGTGTATTGATTATGAAATAAATAATGCTGATGAACCCGATCCATTCAACTTGGGCATGCCACTCTGAATTTCAGAGTAAGTTTTCGAAGTTTAATGCAGTTATTATATTCTTATAAGTTAACAAGCATTACTAATTGAAACAGTCGAGCTGAATAATAGACCACGACTTATGGAGGGAACCGCCGCCGCCGCTTGCCACGATTTCACTCCATTTGTCTAATAAACCGTTTTGCGTGCTTATCATTACATTTGGGTACGTCTTATTGTGTATCTTAAAATTAAAAACCTAAAAGATATTACTGTACCTATATATAGACAAGAAAAATAATTTGAAATATTTTTTTCTTAAAAACACAGAAATTGAGTTGGAAGTAAACCTACGCCGCACGCCTAACCTCTTGCATGCCATGGATCACCAACCCGCATAATATATGGGCACACATGTATAAACATCCGTTATAATATATTATATTATGCACATCGATCGCGATCGAAAACCGATCAATCGACTTAGGAATTGGCCTAGAGTGTTCGCAATGCAAAGTCGTAGGTACCTATTATTCGCGCCTCGCATATCTCTTTCGCCATAAATCCGAGTGGTGGGCGGAAATGGTCGTTTCCGACGGTATAAATCACCTGAAAACGTGCGGAAAACGTGATGGCGCAGTACAGAGATCTTGAATTTTCCTCGTTCGTTGTTCTCGACTGTTGCTATTACGGCAAATCTCGACGCGGAAATCGTTCTGTACACATATTTTATTGCTCGGCGCTAGTTAATCTCTTCCGGGTCGAACCTTTTTCTCGCAAAACGATCGTCAATCAATCTCCGCGGACTTGAAATCGCGTGGAAAAGTCACTCCACGTGTATTAACAAGCGTAAAACTTGTAGTATTGCTATATTACACACATAAATATTATACGTTTCTGCGTCGAGTGGCTTAATATTGCATAATTATTATTTATTCGTGGCTTGTTGTCGATGTATGTACCGCGGAAGGTGCCCTTATACCGGCATCTTTTAGTCTAGTTTTTTCTTCAATAAGTTACATATTATTATAGGTAAGTACCTTTTTTAATGATTTGTAATGAAAAGTTTTTCGATTTTCTGGAAAGTGAAAATCCTAAAAAAAAGGATTTTAGACATTCGGCCACGATGAAATAGTATAATTACTGTACCTACTGCATTTATGTAAAGCCAGTTCCGCAGTTCATCGTTTGGCATTTAAAAAATGTGACCATGAAATTGTTTTCGATATAATATAATAGTTTTCGAACCAATGTTTTTTTTTTAAACCGTAACTGCGTACATGCCGAGTGCTAAGATGAACTGGACCGCGGGTTAGGTATAATGTATATTATTTCGACGTTTTGGCGTACGTCACAGTGCAGGCTCGTTAAACGACGACGACCGATCTTCTGCGGCGGCGGCTTTTATAAGCTTAAGAGCGCATTTTGTTACAATACACATATAGGTAGTATGAATACAATTTTTTTTCATTATTTTTTAAACATAGTTTCCCTTTCACTTCACGCATCGAGTAATCGCGTTGTATCTTTTCTGAACCGCGAACAAGAAGACACAACACATACGATTCTGTAAGGCGTCAATTAAGTTATCGTTAAAAACTCATTAGTCTTTCTCGCAGACGCCCCAAAGCAATAATAGTAATTATATGATGGTGTGACTGTGGATTGGTGTTGTTGGTTAGGTTAGTGGTAGTGGGACAAGAGAGGGGGAAAGAACGAGAGAGAGAGAGAGGGAGAGAGAGAGAGAGAGAAGAAACGACGAAAAAATCATAATAATTCGACGTACAGCCTCTGCAGCAGCCGTGTCGCATCTCTGAGCGAAAAGCTGAAACTTGTAAACGAAATAAGTACTCGATTCATACAAATATGAAAGCTTTCCAAAGAATTCTGGTAGCCTGCAGCCTAGATGTTTAGTAGATGCCATATGTGCAGTGTAAAATAAATTATTTTTCATGGCTCACTGTGATATCAGTGTAAGAACGTATGTATTGTACTTAACAAAGTAGCATAGCTAAAGGTTGGCGACAATGACGATCATTATAACCGACAAATGTGACAAACAATAGATATTTTTATACTAAAAATTATTCATCAAAACATCGATCCACTAGTCCAATAGGCTCACGTCTGAAACTGGCGTACAGGCCAAAGTTTCGTTCGTACAAAATATAAGCGCAACAAGCAAAATTAAAATTATGAAGAAAATGTTTTTTTACACTATAGCGTTATATATCGAAATATTACCAAATTGAATTATTTTACCCTCACTTCGTCCTGTATAAACTCACACTATAATAATTATATTGTCGCTTATTAATTAATATACGATTCGGAAAATTCTTTTCGTTTAAATATTGTATTCTTTGAGGGTACAATGAACTTGCAATAGGTATCTATATACATTATAGTAATTATACATCAATACAGAAGCTACATATTACTAATCGTCGAGTCATGCCTTAAAACATTCATTGAAACATTAAGCAGTCGATCTTGATTAACTCGAAATCTTCGAGACCTCGAACTTTTTCCGGTCCCTAAAATGTCCTACTATTGTGTTATCCTAGGATAATTCGAATTCTTAGATAACACGAACTTTTTGTTCGGTACTTTCAACTTTGATTTAACCAAGGTCGACTGCAATATAGTCAGGGCACCCGAATTATTTATTCGGGTTTCGGGTTTCGGGTTTCGGGTGTTCAAACCACGAAATAAAAATTTAAACAAACGTTCGGGTTTAAATAACCATAACCGTTATTATACGGGTTAATATTGGTTAATACGGGTGTTGAATAGTCAAGAAAAAATACAATCATTTAAATTTTATTGAAGGCTAACTCATCAAAAAACATTTAAAAAACTGATTTGCTTTTTATAACAAAATACAAATTCCTAACTTGAATGCTAAAAAGTGACACATCGCATAATATTGTATTAGGTGTACCTAATATAAGGTCCCCAGTTATATTGCAAAAACACTAATATCATGTTATTATACCGCTGCAGAATATATAATGTAGATTATCTATACTTATACATATATATATATATATTATGTAAATTAAACAAATCGTTACGCGTTCGCGGCGTACGTAAACAAAATATAGTATGCAATATTATGTATTGAAAATAATATTATACGCGACGCGAATCGATTTGTAGTTTTTATTTTTCAGGTCAACAAGACGTGCAGGAAAATACATAGATCGGCTAGACTTGGGCGTGAGGTACTATCACGCTGTTCAACGACACTCGACGGGACGTGCGCGGAAGTCGTACATGCATTATAATAATATTATTATAGGTACCTATCGTATAACGTGCTTTGCTATCATCACTCGGAGAGAGAACAGAAAAATAATATAATAATAGAAAAAACGAAAATCGTGCGCGGCCAAAAAAAAATAAGTATAAAAAAACGCGTGCACCGTGAAGCGTGTATATAGGTTTTGCTGCAATCGTAATCGCATTATAACACGAAAATGTTATATTATTATATAATTTGATATAGCAATGATATATTATATATTATTAAAAACATAATATAATAAGTGCGTACTCGTCTGTTGATCGGTCCCGACGTGTAATGTCTGAACTGGTAAGTGGTACATCTATGGTTCTGTGTGTATAGGACCTTATGCACTACATTGTTCTTCATCTATACATACATATGGTGTCCAGTCGCCCGTCCAAATACGAGTGGTTATTATTATTATATTATTACGCACTGCACTCAATTGATTCGTTTTTCGTGATCTCGAGCGCCGCACACGCCATATACCTACGCGGTCTATGACTCTATATACAATAATATTGTGTACCGCACATTAGTGTGTACGTCGTGACTTAACATGATATTTATAATATTATACGTAGTCAGTGGGTACTTTTACAACACACGCGTGTACCTCCTGTAGAATTAAGTCGTAGTCGATTAACGCCGTACGTGTACAAATAACAATAATTATAATAATTAAAATCGTAAAAAATATGTGCGACACTATCAAACCATAATACGAGTATATATAGTACCTCTTTGTACTATTAATATTTATGGACCCACGTTTTATATTCGTGAATACAGTGCCGAAGGAACAACCGGCTGAAAAGGGTGGGAAAATGTCACGGGCCACAACATTTGAAAAGACGAATTGGAAAAATTGTTCGGTTTTAAGATACACTAAAATATAGTACTCGTTGAGATAAATTCTGATATTAGATAATAGCCAAATACCTAGTACAACACTAAAATTTTAAACTAAATAATAAAATAATCGACAATCGACAGTTAGATCTGGATAGGTACCAGGAATTCATTTTAATAACTTTTTAATATTGAGAACAAAGAAAAGAAAAGAAAGAAACTTCAAACATTAAAACAAATAAGTAATTGCAAATCTTGCAGCGAGAATAAAACTTTTGCAATTTAATTTTAATTTTTCATTAATATTCTAAAGTAAAAAAAAAATAGGTGTTTAAGTAATTATATGAGTAAAAATGTTTTAAAATGTACTAATATTTATACTATTTACTTTTATAATAATTTATGATTAATTTGTTTCTGATAAAGTGATGATAAATTGTGTGCAGGTAATACTGTACTATGTCATATTATTGTTAATAAATTACAATAACCGTTTTATCTTATATTGAATTACACAGTATATTATATTACACTACAAGAAGAGACATTTTTCTTACTAATATTTTTCAAATAGGCACGATTTTAGACGATATTCTTATAACTTATTCATGAGTAACATGAGTTACTAATATAGTTACTTATATGTAGAATTTAAACTAGTCTCCGTTGGTAGTCCAAATAGTTTGGTAAGTTTCAAAGTTCAAACAAGAGCTGTAAGGCCGTAGAGGAGTATAATATTATTAATATTATTATACTACGTCATAGCCAATAGGTACTGCTGAACTGCCGGATATATATACATAATATACCTATATAGGAAGTCACACACGATGAGATATCCTGTACTTAGCATAATATAGTACTAGATTGTGGGTCTTACGGGCGACGGTGGTGGTATTATAATAAACGTGAAACAAAAATATAATAACTGCCTAATAAAAAAAAAAATATAATATTTTAACTATGTGAATGTTACGTTTAATTTCCGCCCCGTTCGAACGGCGGCGACGAGAACAGCTGAACGATATTAACGCGTGTTTTGTGCATTAAACACATTTTATAATATGTATACAAAAATCTGTCCTCGTTAAACCGTCTGTATCTCCACAGACGATTGTTGCAGAGCTGTTTGACCTTATCGCGTGCACAGCACAACAGGGGAGACGGTCGGTCATCTGCTGCTGGCTCGTAACGACGTGCATACGTCGTGTTCTCACGAACTCTATTCGCCCGAAAAACGTTTCAAAATCATTTTTTATCTTCTTCGAACGGTTAATGGTTATATAACCGATATGGGAATTATCGGCCCCGAGTAGATCGAACGAGAGACACGATAATAAGAGTGAAATACGATCGCCTAGCACATCACATACCTACAGACTATTACCTACGCTTTTCTCGATATTGTTAGTAAACAAACAATTCGTTTTTATGGTAGAATATTATAATATTTGTAGGATATTTGGTTGATAAATTGTTAGTTGATCGTTGTGCAACTGTTTTATTTTCGTCCCAAGCGGCAACAACATCACGATGCCGTTTGACAGGCAATACTCTGCTCGAAAAAATTTTAATTTACCACGATTGAACATTCCTGGAAAATCGTGACACGCAGTCCCCGTCCGTCAATTTGCCGCTCACACAAAAATATTCACAAGGCTTTTTTTATCTCATCAAATTTAATAAGGTTATTTGAAAAATGAATTCAGCTTACATAAAATGTGTGGGTTTTAAAAAAATCATAAGGCCACGCGGCTCCCCTCTCCCTCTGAAAAGCGAAATCGCTGTTTGGTTAGGTCTTAACAGTAACGAGACAAGCGCCAGAGTGCCGCAATCGACGGGCCCTTCGAAAATCAAAAAATATCTCCACTCCTCCCGATAGCGATAGTAATAATACTGTAATAACCGTGGTAGCATCACGGCCGCACTGCACATAGGTAGGTATATGGTATAGTTATGGGTATGGTTACTGTGACCGCAACTATCTCTTCGTTGTCATCGTTCATTTTTGGACCGCCGCCGCCGGGACAACAACGCTAGCGAGCTTTGCGCAGACAGACGGACGCCGAGGCACCCCGCTCGTTCTTTATCTTTTCGGAGCAGTAACGAATTAATAACATTATAATATTTTAATATAATATATGTATATATATGTAATATATTATATGCCATTATGATAATTGCGGACTACGTCGTCCGAGGCGCGGGTGGGTCTCGTTGTCCCCGAGAGCGCTGTTATCGGTCGCGAAGCGCATGCAGCACGCGCCCTTAGATAATATATGTATATACGCAGTCGTTATGATGTGTATATTACAACACTGTGTTATAATGCAAACCAGCAGACTTCGATTTTGCGGCAAGTCATAGTGTACTATATCATATTTTAATATTATAATATCAAACATATTATATGTAACCATACCCTGTAACCAGTAACCGCAGTGGATTCACCTACCACGTATATTATACAATGTATAAATGTGGATATTATTTAACGTGGTGATGCGTAATTAAAACATCAGTGCTGGTCTGATCTTGATCATAGCTAATATTACTACTATTAACAGCGGTTGTTGTGTATAATTGTATAAACCACTGAAAACTTGCCGAAATCATTTCGTTTTGAAATTTTTACAACATGGGATATTCAACTCGGTTTCTTGTTACAATAGCAGTTGAAAAATATTAAAAATTCATAGGCATGATTAACCTTACGAAATATGTAATAATTGTTTTTAGCAAAAATTAAGTTAACCTACTGTAGTACTAATTCCTAAAAGTAAAATAAATTACTGAAATCATAATAATAACATAGACTGACTGACCATGCTCAGAATAGTTTTTCATATTATACAGTGATTGTATATCATTGAATTCAAATTCAACAGCATTCATTGCAGTGACCCATTTGGCATTTGTGACCTATTCGACAACAGAGCGACATCTCCTTACGCGCTTTTTGTATGGTTAGCAAATATGGGTTTTTTTTTTTTAAAATTGTATATTAATTTTAATCTATATTATTATTACCGATTTCACAATATTGTATTGGCAAGTAGTATTTATTAATCATAAATACACTTTGTTTATATTTAATAGTCTATATAAGCCATAAGGTAAATCCACAGATAAACATATAATACATTATCTGAGATAATTATTTAGTTCACATTTTCACAGATTATAATTAGGTATGATAATATGTCAATTCAAGTAAATCATCAATTAGATATTTTTAGTCTTGGTCGTATAATCAAAACGTTTGATTTTGTTTTTTTTAATTTGAAATTAATGCATATATAATAGTATTTAATAGAGTTCCTAATATTTGTCTGGCCAATACAAAATCAACAAGACATCGTTGCGATAGGTTTGACTAGTATAAATTATTTTTGTTACTCGAAGATTATTTTGACGTATCGATCACAACTCACTCGCTAAGCTACCTTGAAGCATCTACGCGAGTATTGTGTTCTATACATAACCAGGATTAATTGTTAAATTGTTATCGCGCTTAAGCGTATATATATATATATCTATGATGGCGTCTAACGACAAACAAGTTGTACTGCAGTTGACCGAAGGTGAAAATATGAAAAATATATTTGAAGAGCTGAGATCAGCAAAGTTTCACATTCCGACGAAATTTTCGGCACGCGTCGGAACATGGCCGACGTTGAAAAAACACGAGTCTACGCCGAACGTGGCCACGATTTTCCATCAACCAGCCTCTGGAGACACCGAAATCTATCGGTGGTTGTCCGCCACGGCCGAGCCACCATGCGTGCCTCGTGAGGTGTCCGACGTGCTGGAGCAGAAAGGACCCCCATCCAGTCCACCGGACCGCGAGATGTCCTTTGCAAAGTGCGCAGGACACAACGCGTCGCTGCAGGATAACGGTGCAACGGAATCGATGGATTCGCAGAACGGAATTGACACGTCCGTGCAGCCGGCGCCGGAACTCCGAGCAACGTCGCCCCAAGTCCGGGAGACAAACGAATTTGGCGGCCGTTCAGCGCGGAGTCGATGGTCATCAGCGCCAAATATACATGTGACTTTTGGACTGGTGGACCACCCGGAACGGGAAACAGAATGTAGTGACGACGAAGAGCAAAAGTTGGCCATTAACCCCAAAAATCCTAAACGGCGCCGGTCGATGTGGAGCCGGACGAAGAAATTCGTCCGGCGCATGTTTTGCTGCGCCGTTTAAGGTTACCGCAACCTTGTTGTTGTTGTTTGGTTCATACAG